GATAAACTTATATTGGGCATAAAAATGATTGTAAATCCTGTATAAACTTAAATTTCTTTTACTAAATGATAAACTATTATTACTGATATTAACTATTAATTATTATTCTGATACTAATCAGTATATGCCCACTAGTGACTACCTTCCTGGAGTTCTAGCGTGAAACAGTGACCAATGGAGTTCAATTGGGTCAGTTGTGTGATAGTAACTCACTGAAGACAACGATGGGCGTGTCGCTCAATTTCGTGGACTAGTTGAAGCTTGACAATAACACCATTGGATGCCTGACGGCTCAGTGGTCTAATGGTTAAGCGCTCGCGCGCAAGACTGATAGGTCATGGGTTCGAATCTTGTCCCGAAATACGACAATAAGGCCGTCCAGTACTTCCAGGTTTGTTAGGATAAATACAAAAGTATAGAAAACTCAATTGTTTATAAGAAATTTTTACCGAACAATACATGTTTCTTTCATAAAATTAATTTTGACATTTTTATATCTCAGCAGTTGAAACCATGAGTCAATTGAAGCTAGACCACCATGAAAAACCTGGAAGTACTGGATGGCCATCTCGTCCTTTTGTGGGACTTTTCAACTGTGTGCATCCACGAGATTCAAACCTAGGACCTATCAGTCTCTCGCGTGAACGCTTGACCTCTAGATCACTGAGCTGGCCGGCATCCAATGGTGTTAATATTTTTATATCGGTAATGAATTAAATATACCATGACATTATTTGTTAATAAAATTCACCTACTCATTTCATCTTAATTTTGGTAGAATATTTGAAATTTTCTTTGAGTAATTTAATATCTATCCCCCACATTTTCATTTAATATAGGTCATCCATTGTACAGTCATCAATAATAAACCCGATAATATTTGACCGTTCTACTTATTTTAATTCGGTTTTCGTTTTGATATTTTTATTTTTCAAGTCATAAAAACTGATTACGTTAACAACTAAATAAATATTAATCCATTCACCATCACACAGTAACTAAATACTTTTCATGCGTTATTGGAAATCAATACTGTTGAAATTATGGCTATGATTATGTTTACTTTATATCAGTTAACAGTATATATATATATATATATATATATATATATTCGCATGCATGTGTTAGTATTTGTATTTATATCATAAAAAGTCAATAATGAAAGGCTAAATTGATTTTTACAGAAATGTATCTGTAACTCTATTGAACACAAATATACACATAAATTATATAATTATCAATGATTCTAAACCACTTCATGATCAGTACGATAATTTATGGACGACCTTTCAGCGACATTAAAGTTACCTTGATAGAGTCCATTTGATAACTAGGAGCGAATGAGGATTATAAACCAGAGTGGGGAATTAGAAATATGATTTATAGTTGACGGTTAAGGTTAGGAAGTAGATTTAAGATTTTCATCACGAACTAACATAAACTAAAATGCCAAAATGTTATTTAGCCAAATCGATGAATGAATTTCGCGCTAAAATCCAATACCTGTTATCTTATATCTGATTGGTTCGTCCATAAATTATAGTCACACCGATACCTCACTCAAGATTCAACAAATTTTCTAATAATATATCACTTTAATCCAAATACGTTAACCCTAAAAAAGCCATTTTTTAACTTTTGATAAATGTACCTATTGTATGAATTTCAAGTATCGTTATGATAGTAATCATTTGTATTTTAAGTAATATTGATAATTTTCATGAAGGACTGATCTTCGTGATTCCTTACGAGAGCGCATCCATGAATTCTACGTTCAATCAAGCTAGACATAAAACCCATTGAGTTGCAGCCCAGTGATCTAAACATTAAGCATTCACAGTGGGACCTAAAGGTCATTAGATCCATGGTAGGGTCGCGGGTGAATCCCATGCTAGAACGAAACAGGTTTCCAGAACTTTATGATCATTAAGAACTGCCTGAAATCACTCCATCATGAAGATTATAAAAATTTAACAGTATCCACAAACTACATACATCTTATGAATAACCATCAATGTCAACTGTGAATGTCATAAATCAAATAAGGGTTCACTAAGGTTCAAAATTCAATTATATTGATTATATTCAACCACGGTATCAGTCAATTACGATGAAAAATCCTCTACCACTATAAGATTACGATTTTTTTAAATGAAGAATGTTGGGAGTTAACATATTGTTATTGAGGATTTTCAGAAGAGTGTTTCATCGATGTTATCACTATAAAAATTTATCCCATCCATATGACCTATAGATAATTGAGTCCTCAAGTATGTGGCTAATCTTCGGAAAATTATACGGGGAAACAAGCACTAACGAACATATCTGCGATGTGTGTAAAAATGATAGTAGTAAACAGTTCTAAACAACATTAACTGACGTAGCCGATCCAGGTTATATTTTATATCAGACACATCCGACCAATAAAATACTAGAAAGAACTGAATTATTATTTCTTAGGAATGTGGCTTCTGTTTTAGTTTAATGAGTACGTCAGAATTTTGCTCATCTTCAAAAGGTCGAGTTTATATTTTTTACTACATAATGTATTAAATAATTATAATTCACAATCCCAAAGTGTGTCAGAAAAAGACAGGACGATGTGTCAGTTTGTGATATATAGAATTGCAAAATCAGTATTGGGGTTCATCATGAGACGAAAATCCTTACTTAGAAATATACCTCCCTTTGAATGAGTGATCCAATTTGATTATTAGTCCGCTCATACTTCACATTGTTATTTGTTTCATGTTTTAATACCAAAATCCTTGGCACTTGGCAGCATTACTAGCTTAACGACTTATACTGATTGGTCGTTGAATAGTAATCAATATAATGGTCACCTAGCCCTTAGTAGTATTGGAATTTAACCAAACAAGTTGCAGTTTACAGACTCAACATAATGTGCATTATGTTTTGACCTGAATGGATCGGAGGTAAAAGTTCTGTGACAATGGCTGACGCGGATATAAAACGAATATACAGCACTAGTTTCTTCAGGTTTGCAGAAACGTGGTAACGAGTTTCAACTAGTACTAGACCAAAGTACAGGGCCTCGATGCGGTTACTTGCAACTACCTAGCATCATGTTACTTGTACAAAACTCTCAAAGAATTGTTCCACTTTCTCGACGTAAAGTAAAGCAACTTAGGTCGCTTCATAACTTTACAATACTCAAATTCTAAATCAAAGAACAAGCGAGTTGGGACAATGAAAGTATGTATTGCATTGACTTCAAACTCAGTTATTCTCTATCTGTAAAGCGAAAATCAGAACTACGATTTTGGGATTTAAATATTCACCCTTGAATCATTACGACGCGAATTCATCTCAGTTTAAACAGTATGGTTTTGTTAATAGCCTTTACATAACAAGTAGGCTTAAAGGTACAGAAATGACCTTTCAGTAAAAACTGCATGGTTTATAACACCGAAATAAATAGAGCTAATAAAAAAGTGATAATGTTTAATTTAGAGAAAGTTTTAGATTTGGCATATAAAACATTATCACATAAGATTTTATGTTTTCTATTGTCGGAAACAGTGAGAAACATCTAATTTCCTACTTTATTTTTCTTTAAAAAAGTACATTTTCTAAACATGAACTCATATTTCTTCTGTTACATACTGTTGTTGACCCAATTAAAATCAATCTAAAAATATTGAATGAACACATGTGCAACCTGAGTGCATAGGTCATCCTATATTTACACAAAAATCAAATACTATTAACAAAATTATTATATATTGATCATTAGATTAGAATCTTACTAATAGTAATAATAATAATGACAATCATTAATTTCATCATGAGTATGACCAGATCCATAACACTTCACAGAAAACAAGTACATGGAAAGAAGGATTAGAAAAACAGGAAAAATGAAGATAAGTAGTAAGCTGTTAAGAACAAAATAGGGTAATAGGATACTATATATATATGGTAATTATTTTTTCAGAGATCACAGTTAGGCAGACGTTATAGGTGGGGGGAGGAAATGATAAAGAATAAGCACGAAGATACCATGTGACAGGAGAGAGAGAGAATCTAAAGTAAGTAATCAAAATACGCACCAACAGTGATACAGGATTATGGTAGAAACAAATGAAATAATATCAGGATAAATTAAGAGAAAATAAACAGATCTAAGAATAAAATTATACAAATGAACGAACAAATATTCATATTAATTGATCAACCTTACAATTTCACCTGGAATTCAAATAATTGAGTAAATTTGTGCGCATGTAGTTGAATGTGGGAACAAACACAAAACTTCTCATTTCTGACTGGAAGTGAAAAAAACACATTGTTTTCTATTGAAAAAACAATCATTTTCGATAACAAATCGCAAGAGACATACTACACAATATTATTGGAACATTGGTGAAGAATAGTACAAAGAAGGGAAAATTAAGTAATGATAGTAATAAAATTAATGACTGAACATTGAAATAACGAAAAAAACAAAACAATTGAAAACATTTTATTTACAACAGTATAAATTAAGATGTGCGCTGAAATAGGCATACATATATACATTCATTTAGATTGTAAAGGAATCGAAGGGAAGAGTGTAGTATATATATTCCAGATAAATAGCAGAGTGGATTAAAGAGATGTGTTAAAGATTGACTGATTTGTCTACTCTACTCTAAATGAGAACGTAAAAACACAAAAACGGGAGATAAACTAAAATAACACAAACAAACAAATTAGTACACTTTTTAATGCAAGGGCCATTGAATAGTCCGAGGATTGAGAAGAAAAACACCCAAACTATGTCCATAAAACAAAAATGAAAGTAGATTTTTCAACTTGTAAACATTTACATAAAAAAAGAGAGGAATTTGTCTAAATCGACAGAGAAAAGCAAACAAAGAATGATAGTTGGAAGTAAAATGCAGATGTTGGAAACAGGTGAACAATAAATTTCGATGTAAAATCTCTTAATACTAACCAGAAATAATGATAATAATATGCACATAGATGTAAAGAAATCAAGTGAAAACTGTAGCGCTTCTATTGTCAGTAATACTAAGATTTTCTGTACAAGTTAAATTGGATTGATTAGATGTTACTAAATTTGAATTAGGTTTATGTTCTGGGAAATTTGAATTATTCAATGTAGTATCTAATGATAATGTTGTATTTACATTATCGGTTAGTTTGTCTAAATCATTAATAATTTCTTTGATGGCATTCTCTGCGTCTTTTAATAAATTTGCATTATTTTTATTGTACTTACTTAGATTATTAGTATTATTATTACAAGTAGAATCGAGTTTTTTAGAACGTAATAAACTGCTAAATGTTTGTAAACATGCGAATCGATCACGAAAATTAAATTTTGCTCGAGCTGAACATGTAGCCTGATCAATATATGCAGAACAACTATGTCGACATGCTTCCATTTGATCTGCTAACTCAATTAACTGTTCTAAATTTGATGACGATGATGATGAAATGGCAGCGGACGAGGGAGAGGAAATAATATTTCCAGGAATTTTTTTATCATTTATACGAATCAAACGTTCTAAGTCTCCTAAAATATTTGATAAATGCTTTTTCAAGTGGTGTTTTGTTGGTGGAACACAGTGATTATTACCATTAGTCTCGTCCAATGCTGTAGATGATGTAGAAAATATAGTAGGTAGATATAATCGTTGGGACCGCTTCTGATTACCAGCTGAATTATCATCAGTTGGACCAGTCCAACTTAAACGCTTTTGTATTATATCAGATAATTTATCAGAGATTTCATTTTCAGACCTTTTGAAATGAGGTTTTGGGGAATTGTTATCATTACTATTGATATTTGTGGGCAACTTGCTGGTCGTAGTAACAGTTGAATTAGAACTATTATCATTTTTGATCTGAGTCGATGCAAGTGATCGGATCAATTCTGAAGGACAACATGGAGGCTCCACTTTTCCACGTGTTGATGTTTGATTGTTACTGGATCCAGAAGTATTATTCGAGGATATCCGAGGTGGATTCGCAGAGTGTGGTGGTGGTCTTAATCGGGGGATAGTGAAGTAAGGGGAAGAATTAGAAACCGATGATTTTGAATCACTTTTTTCCTGATTACGTAGCACTGAATTCGTAACATTACTAGGTGAATTATTTAGTATAGATTTAGATGTAATCGGTTTCAGCTGAGATGAACTTTTAAGCTGTTGAGAATGCTTTTTTAATCTATCTCGTAATTCCTCTTGAAAGACAGATGATGAAACATTGGTAGGATGAACATTTTGCTTAGAAGAAACATTATTCCCTGAATAAGATTCATTAGGAAAATTAGAATCTATACTGCGCTTATTGTGGGAATGATCTACAACGGGATTAGTTTTGTTAGATAAATCCGAATTTACAGTGGTTTTCGATAAAGCTGGTGACTTTGAAGAAAGCTGAATATGTTTACCTGGTGTGGGAGGAGCAAGTGGTGATATTAGACGATCAGGACAAATTGATCTTGTCAGGCTGTTATCTAACGGAATGGGATCCACATATGAAAATTGACGAGAAGGGAAAATTGCTGTAAGATAGGAAAAATGATGTAAACAATCATAGTAAAATTACAATCTACTTAGAAGATAGTCTTGCAAGATGCTGTAAGTGATAAGTAATCCTCTCTAGAAGTGTATTTAGTTGAATAGTTAGTATTTTTCTGCTACAGAATACGAGGCAGTTTAGGGTATACAGGAAGACAAATAATCTCATATTTTCATCGAGTGTTATTAGAATCTCTCTTTATATGAGTCAGCTACTCTTATTGCTTAGTATTCTTCGGATACTTCACTTCATCTGACTATTCCTCAAAATCAGAGGACGGTTGAACAGGAATGCGATCATACTCCAAAAAAACCAAGTTGAATGGGAGTAACAGTTTTAGTGAAAAAAATGTTAGTAAATTTATGAATTTGTACAAAAATATCCTAGAGTCTTCATCTATCTTCAAGCGCTGACTGGCTAAAAATGGGCTAGTTAGAGTCCCCCAACATTAAACTGCATGGAACATGCACCTATACAGAATATGGCTTGCTAACAACTCTTTTTGTTTGACGAGTAAAAAAATTTTAGTATATTTTTTGAGAAACAAAATCGTGAAGTCGGTCATTTGTTACAAAATGAGAGCAAACTGTTTTGCAAGGATTCAGGTCATCTTCGTTAGTACAAAAATAAAAGTAACTTTGTTGGAGAAGAAATATACAGACATGTATCAAAAGACAATTACGTTGCATAGTAACTTATTTTGCACTACGTAGAGGGAATTGAAATATTCCTGCTGCCAGTTGACGAATTAGGAAGTTTAAAGTATTCTAGAAAGTTATTGGCGTATTTCCTGCGTAAAACAGAGCTAATAAGTTGGTGATGCCAAAGCTAGGGACATAATAATGAGTGGTAACCTGTACGTCGGACTGACGAACCTGTAAACCTATGTACACATTCATTATTCATCCTGAGCAACTGATTAACCCGAGGTAAAATAGTGTCTGATAGCTGTTTTATTCTATTTTGGAACTCCTAAACAATATGAACACTCCCAATACTACATGAAATCTGATCAAAATCCTTCGGCTCTCGAACTGAGCATGATTGTTTCAACCAATCAAGTCATCATTCATATTTCCAAACATACTAAAATCCCAACACGTAAACTTGGGAATATTTCTACATATTGATTACGTAAACCTAAAAATTTATTTTACGAAGTTTTAAAAAAAAGCAGTCATCATCACATAGAATAACAAACGTCACAAATTATAGCATAAATATGACTAGTAAATTGATAAAATAATTTACATACCAGAACTACTCATAACTGATGGCACTGAAAATGGTGTTGAGTTCGAGTTATTGGTAATGAACCATTATTAGACTGTGGTGCTAGACGAGGATGTTGTTGTGATCGGGGTTGATGTATTTGATGATGACTAGAATCAAGATGAACTGGTGGGGGTGGCAGTGGTGGATGATCAAAGTCATCCAGATGGGAATTCGGGCAAACACAACTATTATCTTCTAATGAATTAAAATCAGTTAAGAAATTCAACGGTTTAACTGGTGTAGTACGTCTTGGTGGTCGCGGTGCAGTTCTTTTACGCCCAAGAGATCCTGAGTTTGTAAATGGTAGATCTTTTTCAGCAGTACCAAACTCATCAGTACTTAAATCACCAATATGTAATTGTTTCGAAAGGGGATTCTTAAAACTCCTTGTAAATATACCTTTATGAGATTTGTGGTTAACATTATTGTTATTATTTATAGCATTTACTGGTATATCACTACCCAAATCGGATTTACAATCCTCTGAAAAAAGATATAAGATTAAACGAAATGATGACACAAGAATAAAAATGTGTGAAAAATATTATGAATTTATGGTGCAACTTTTAATCAAACATAGTCCTGTGAATTTGACTATTTTAAGGTCTAATGGAAGACATTTTATATGGCTGTCCAAAACAAAGTTAATGGAATAGGGTTCAAAGTATTAATAAATTAGTAGAATAAGAATTTGAACTTTTGAAGGACTAAGGCATTGTTCTATTAACTGATAGTTTAAAAATTTGAAGTTCAGTTTAATAAACTAATGTCAGTTGAAAAACTAGGAGATTTTTAGTGAGGACTTTATGAAAATGCATGATAGCGTAGTCATTACACCATCGGAATTAAGAACTGTTATGATAGGTTTGTTTGACAAAACAGGGAAATTTTGACAGTAGTTTTTTTAATTTCTGTACTAAGTGATATTAGTCACACTTGCTTTGAACAATTAAACTCAGAATTTGCAAGCCATGACAAATAATAACTATCCCGCTGATTCTGTTGTTCAAAGCTGAATACAATCAAATAATTGTTCAAATCTATGATAAACAATACGTTACGTATTTTTATGCAATCTATTTATTTGAAAGAGCGAAAAAAAACTTCGCCGAACTTGATAGTACATCATAATTTCAAAAACGTTAGGATGAATGATTAAATTCCAGTAAAAACAGACAATTCAGAAATATTTACTGACCTATATACACACGAATACAACTACTAAGTGAACTTCTGCGTATCATCAGTTAAGGTCTCTAAAAATGCGTGTCAAAATCCATGTCTGTTGTCACATTTTATATCGACAAAACAAAAGAAGAGATAAAAGATGTGAAACAAAGACAACAATATAAATAATAGTAATGAGAAACGAGGAAAAAAGTCGAAAGGAACAAATGAGAGTACTTTTGGAAAGTCAATTGATAGGAATTGTGATAGTAGGTAAATGTTTATTATTTTCAACTGACCATCTGAATATATTTGCGTTCAGCATGGAAAACTATCTCCAAAGAGAAACAAATTCAAGTATATGAGAAACGAACACAATTATTCATTCGTAAATCAATCAGAAATCATTATAGTAGAATTGGTCAGTAGAACATCTAAAGAATGCTGACTACTGTACAAATAACCGATAATAACAACTAGACTAAATTGTCGCAGTTCCATATAAATTAACAACTGAATGGAAAGTTGTTAATGAATTAAAGAGATAATTGTGATATATCAATAAAAGTTGAATTATGAATTTCTAACGTTTACTGGTTTAGTTTCAGACACTTCTTCAGCGTAGATATATAAATAACTGAAGCAAAATTAATACCAATTTAAATAGTGCGAAGGAAACTCAGCAGAATATTTTTAATACAATGAAAATCAAAATGGTTTCGAACATTGCAATGTTATGCTGTGCAAGGTGACTTATGTGGGATAATAGAATATTTCTACTTATTAAGATATCATAAAATTATCCTTTAATGTTTTATGCTAATCCTAGTTGTAGGAAGATTAAATATAAAATATTACCTCAACTACCCCCAAATATCCTGGTACGGTCGAGAATGGAGAGAGTCGGCTCTAATCAAAATACTCTCACATGGCCACGCGTATACAGCCACTACTAGGGAAGTCATAATCACCCACATCTCGTGCAGCGAATGTTTGTTTTACAAAAGTGAGAGGACGAAAATCGAATGTCCAGAGAATGGCAAAGTGTGGCACATATATATTCGGTGCCTATTTGTACTTATATATATATATATAACTAATTATATTTGAATGAATACTATTTTCTTTAAAAGATAGTTATTATTTGAATGATTCATTAAAGTTTATAGTAAATTACAACATAAAAATAGAATTTATCAGATTATGTATTTATTCAACTGTTTGCTGAAGTATATAAATAAACTTAAAGAAGTAACAAAACCACTTTACTTTATTCAGAAATTATGAGATAAAAATGACTTCGTAGAATAGTAGTTAATAAATAAACCATTTTATGACAGTATATTATCAATGACATAAAGTTTAAAAGAATAAATAACGAAAGTTTCTTCTTACAGAAAAAGAACTTAACAAACTATACTTCTTTGTAATGTGTTAACAGGGTGAGCGGAAAAGAACTTATCCAAAAGAAATTTGAATCTCAAAGAAGTCTGAAGGAGTAAGATATAGTGTAATTAAGAGATAATATAGCCTAAACTTGTCAAAAAAATTGTGATGGGCAATTTTATTAAGTAATTCTTACATAAAATTGTGTAATTCACAACGAAGTTAACAACTTTTAGTGAATCGATAATACTCAGAAATAATGGCAGAATAATTCATTAAAATCAATCAGAATAAACCTTCAGTAGCTTGAACACTAACAATCACATAGCACCATTTGTTATTTCTCATAATGTTATACGATCCGAATAACAAAATCTAACTCACGTATCAGAGCTCAATTAAGATCACCTAAACTGAGAATCTGTCACAAAACAATAACAGCAATGCAAACAGAAGTAACCTATTCGCCCAACAGTACAGAATTATGTAATTAAGTTTCGGTCAATCTTTAGACGTGAGGGTTAGTGACACTGAATTGAAGTAGTTGGAGTAGGACTTGGAACGTGTGAAAAAAAGACTGAAACCAGAATACTTTAAACAAAATCAAATTAAGAAACCGTTCCAAATTGCATGTAACATTCAAAGAATAACAAAACTTTAACTAACCTTTAATCATATCAAATTGATTATCATCATTCTCATCAATTAAATAATCGCAACTGGTGCTTCTTCTTGGTGGGGGTGGTCTAGGAGGCAGTGGCGGTCGGGGATACGCAATATTAGGTGGATGTTTAGTGGATCTGTTTGGCTCGCTAGAGTTGGTCACCTTTATTTCATTGTTATTTAATAATAACGATGATGACGATGTAGTAGAAGTTATATCAAAATCGATTTGTTCTTCCTCTTCCATTGTAGAATTGGTTGGCATAGATTCTAATTGACTTAATATATCAGAAAATGGTGGGCGTTGTTCTGGAAGCCATTGCCAACCTGAAAAAAGAGGTAAATATTAGTAGGAAGAAAACAATACATCGAGACTATCTGCACAGGATGTACATATGTCAAAAAGAGAGAACGATCTGTTACAGTACCAAACATCAATGGGAATGTTAGATAATGTGAAATGTTTACATGCTAAAATAAACTTATTTCAGAGAACAGAAATTAAGTGATTCATTAGTTTGGCACAAAAAGAGTCTTAACAGGAACCATACATTTAATGAACTCTATACTTAGTTCTATGAACGTAAAGAGTAAACAAAAAATATTATGCAACATAAACTTAGATTGTTGTGCAAAAAGGTACAATTAATAAATCGTGTGCAGTGTTATCATGATGAAACTAATTCTCACAATATATTATGTAAGAATAAACTATAATACCGATAAACAATGAACTATCTGATACATTATTCAATATCAGTCAGTCAAAACGAAATGAGTATCGACCTAACTTGGGAAATGTGATATCATAATCATCACCAAGATAAATGATGGTGAATATAAATAGAAGTTGAAATAATGGTAATAATATCTAAATCTGGTACAAAAGAGAATAAAAGAATTATAAATCGAAAAAAGAATGAGTGAAATTCGAGAGTGAAAAGTGTGAATTAATACGTACTTAGAAATTTCAACAAAGATACATTTATGGCAAATCAAACTGAATAAACGACTATTTTCATTATCCAAATCATCTTAGGATTAAAACCTGTGGTGATTGCGAAACCAGACTAAAATGCTGTCAAATGGTTCGAGGTAGTCAGAGAGAAGCCCTGGAATTGTGTTTCGTGTTGGTTGGCATTTATAATCTTGCTACTTGTGCAATTTGAACACACATTGCCGAGGTTCAGTCTGAGACGTTACCACAAAGCTATTCCGGCAAAACAAAAATGACACTAATCATTACTCAGTGATCGATCGATTCTAATGTAGGCCCCACATGGTTTCTTATTAGGAAGGTTATGAACAATTAATAAATTACGTATGGTACAATAACAAGTATTTAACTTTAATACCTTCAAAAGATTAAGTAGTGATAATTGAATGAATAGATAAGCGAATAGCAGGATTCCTGATAAGTTATTTTATGATCTATCAGATATTTAAACTCATTTGTCTGTTAATTAAACACAAATTATGTTACAGTATTACAATGAGTTTAAAAGTTGATAAATCCTTTAAAAACCCCTAAATTATCACCGATTAAACGTATTGACTAACTATATCAATGCCCTTATGATGATTCGCAGATTTATATTTTTATTCTACATTCATTTACTGTTAATTCTCAAAACAAACAAAATATTTTTAAAACAAAATGAATACAATACGAAAAAAGAAAGAAATTTATGCAATCACTCTTTAAAACTATATTTTATTCTGAAGTGGTTTGATGTTCAAGTTTATGTACACTGACAATTTGCTTATGTGAAATTCAACGACAACATTCTAAGGTATCTGGATCGAAGTAAATAAAGTAGGTTTGAGATTGTAACTTACTGAGGTCGAAAGCATCAACCAATGAATTATCAGCACCATATATATACTTATTTATTTCCATAATTACCCTTAAGTGGTAACAGTCAAATTATTACAAGTAAATAATATCTATGTCTTGAGGGTAAGAAGCCAACAAACTAATAATAAGCGAAAACAAAATAATAGTAAGGGTTTGATGCGTTACCCAAGTAACCTAAGTTTTATCAAACAGAATTGATCGAGTGAAGCTAAGAATAAAACGTAGACAATTCAATGATCGCATCAAAGCATTAAAAATAAACTATGAAAACTGAACAAAATACATTTAGAGAGGGAGAGAGAGATAATGGAAAATATTAGAAAAGCTAATTATTTAGTAGAAGGATGAATATACAAAGAGAACCACTATTCATTCACACACATATGACATTTGTTTGTTTGTTTTTCCTTAAAATAACAAAGAAATGATACTAGTAGTAACGGTTAGAAGATACAATATTTCTCCTTATCTCCACTTGGACAGAGAAAACATAAAAACAGGGAAATAAAGATGAAAGTATTTGTTGAAAAGCAAATGACAGCGAATAAAAATGTGTACCTAAAACAAGGCTAATAGTTGAATAAATGTGTCTAATAATAATTATAATGGTAATAATAAGGCAAATGTGAAATTCCTCAGACATATGAATCATTCAGTGAAACAGAGAAATTATAACCAGCTTAGTGATCAATGAATAGTTATTTTCAGCCGACAATAAGTAGCAAACACTTTTATTTATCATCAGATTTCACCTATTAGTATTGTTCTAGTAAATATACATGAATCTATCTAACTCGAAAATAATTTATTTTATTCATAGAAGCCGAAATCTGCCTACTGCCGAAGATAACCATTGGTTATTAGACATTATAGATAAATAATAATAATAATTCTCCAGGCACAGGCGTATGTACTTGGTTTTGAATGGTGCATTTTGTGTGATGGCTAATGGTAAAATCCGCCTATTTAAGGTGGGTTCGAACACAAAGTTCATTTGTAGTATGAAGAGAAAGGGTGGTTGTTGACAAACGTTATTTTGCTTCTCAAGACAAAACAAATCTGTATGTATTAGTTGTTAATCAATAGTGGAGAGTGTAGAAAAAATAAACACTTATAGTTTTGCGTAAACACCAGGTAGGATGAAAACAAGATTTGTTGTACCTTCAATAAGTTGACAAATTAATCCCAACCAAATACGATTCCTACATTAACTTATTAACCATTAAACACAAAAAATAACTAGTAGAAATGTACCATGACAAAATGCTCAAAAAAACTTCATTCAAGTCAACTTGATGCCCTGGGTTTTTTAAATATGTTAATATAGAACTGTTAGTCGTCTTTAGTTGCCGTTTTCTAAATAATGAAGGATCATGTTCAGAAAGCCAAAGACGAAATCGACTAATTGTATTCGATGTAATTGGTTGTACAACTGAAAATAAACACATAAATACATATAGAAGAGATATGTCTTTGTTTTTAAATGTTAAGACCAGTAGATTGAAAAAAATGTTTGTCGAAAATACGCAGACACGACTTGTCTTACTAACCTGGCTAAGACAAAATCAATTTTTCGTATCATGCAATAAAGAAGCAGCTAGCACAAATTCTACACGCATTTGACAAAAAAAATCATTAAGCATGATCCAAAAGATTACTTTTAGAGTATGTTGATTAGAGAGATGGCAGTCAAAAATAAAGTCATGATGGCATTAGATCTGTCATATCTATTCAATAACGTCTCTCTATTAGGAACAATTGAAATTCTATGCAGTGAGCGTACTGAGCAACGCATAGGAACTGGGACTCCGATCTCTACATCAAAATAGGTGCACGATGAATGTGCAGTTCTGATTCAGTAAATTCTACAGATAGTCGAATGAATGAACGGGTATTATTGAGTTTATCATTATATTAATTTATATTACCATGTCACTCATAAATATTATGAAAATATCGTCTATGCAACGACTGTAAACTGCTAGCTGATCTTCTACATTTTAGAGAGGTCTATTGTCCCACTAAGCTCGAAAAATATTTGCTAAAAGTGATCCCCATAGTAATCACACAGTTACATGAAAAGTAACTTAGTGTAAGGACCGTATAATTAAGAAATAATCAAAGCAAGAAATATCGTTAATCTAGCAGACTGAAAACAGTCTACACTATTTATTTGTCAAAACAAATAAACATTGGTACAAGGAGGCACCAAATACATACGCGACACACAAATCGAACGATTTGTGTGAGAACTGGAATACTATCCTACACTATTTAAATCACATAGCAGTGATGTTAATGAGATAGAAATGAATAAAAAGCTTTGTGTGTACCATACATCAAAAGATATATAATGCAAGCGAAGAAAACATAATTATCCAAGTTACATAATCGAAAATAACTTAATTAATTGGTGGAACAATCAATTAAACGTACATTGTAACATAAGTTCATAAACTGGTTCAGGGCAACCTTCAGGACAAAGCATCCGTGTACCTCTTTCTAATAAAACATAAACATCTTGTAATTCAACACCTGGATATGGTGTTTTTCCATAGGTGGCAATTTCCCATAACAATATACCAAATGCCCATACATCTGATTTAGTTGAAAACAGATTATAGACTAAACCTTCTGGTGCTGTCCATTTTATAGGAAATTTAGCGCCTTCATGAGCTCGATAAGTAAGATCACGTTCTATACAACGAGCTAAACCAAAATCTGCCACTTTAATGGTATGTTGTGTGCCAACTAGACAATTGCGGGCTGCTAAATCACTATACAGTGAAGAAAAACATTGTAATAAAAAGAAAACGATTTGTTAGGGTACAACGGATAACATTCTGAATAACGAATTCATGTACTCAACAAAAATTAAACTAGATAATCATTTCATCATTGAATTAGATTTAAGTCCAACTACACGTTTGTCAAGTGTGTTTTAAAATAACAAACTTCCAGGAAAACACATAAACAGAGAATGATCAATAATAAAAATTTGATCTTAAATTTATTTATCTAACAGTTAAATTCATTCTATATAACATTATTGATTCGAGTCATGATAAACTGTTTATATGACGAACAGTAAGGTTTCTCAACACGAAGGATTGTTTGCATTGAAACACTGGTCATTTTCTTCAAGACAACAAACAATTTATCATATTGATTATACGTGAATTGAACGGTTAATTACTGGACGCTAATTATAAATATTTTGCGAACATTTCCAAAACAGCTATTAAATGATAATTGTGTTTTTTTGTATGTAAAACATTATTTTTTCCTTTAAGAGTATCTCTTCGCACAGTGTATTTATTTGAACACATAAATATTGATACAAGAGAACACCAAATATACATGCACCACACAAAACAATGACAATCGGAAGAGAAAAAAAAGAAAGTAAGGTGAGTATAAGAAAAAAAGAAAAGATTAGTGTAACGTAGTGTAATAATAATAATAATAATGGGGGGAACAGAAAGGTACAAACAGAAAAATTCTTTCACTTAAGGAAGATACAACCACTTTTTATGAAAAAAGTAAACGAAGGTTACAGCAGGATCGCCACTGGCTTCTATTCTGATCCATTCCTGATAACGTCTCTACCCACTGTGTAGCACCATCTCTCGGACCCCAGCCACGGAGTCGTGAAGGACCAACAGAAGTCAGTCCCGTGCAGCTTTCTTTCATACCACGACACCATTTCATACGCTGACTACCTCTCCGCTTTTTCCAACTAGTCCCAGAGTCGCCAAATAATGCACGACGTGGAATTGTCTGGGACGACATTCATAGAACATATCCAAGCCACCGAAGTTGACGTTTCAAGATGGTGACACCAATCGGATTATCATCTCTGTGCCCGAACACACGATGCCGAACCCCTGCATCACTAACATGGTGTTGCCACTGAATGTTAGCAATCCTTCGGAGACAACGATGATCGAACACAGAGTCATCTAACATCCTCAACTCGGAAAGGCCAGGTTTCACAAGCATACAGCAGAACTGCTCTCACCGACGCGTTGTAGATCCAACCTTTTACAGACAGACTGACATCACGAAGGCGCCAAACATGGCCCACATTGGCATAAGCCGCTCTGGCTTTCACTATACGTGCATTGATCTCATCGCTCACGCCACAACCAGCACTTATGCAGCTACCCAGATACACGAACTTCTCGACTACTTTTATCTGCTCACCATCCAGGGTGAATACAGGATTAGAATCCTGCCAGTCTTGTAGAAGTACTTTGCACTTCGGAGATGCAAAGCACATACCATACCTACGGACACTAATTAGCAAGTGATTAAGTGCGGATTGCATGGCTTGGGCATTATCCCACAGTAAGAAAATATCATCCGCATACTCAAGGTCGAGAAGTCTTTCTCCAGGCAACAGATCCACACCGCCATTACTTACATCCATCAGCTGTTTCCAGAATGTCATCGATGGCAAAGTTGAAGAGGAATGCTGTGATTGGACAATCCAGTCTTACCCCACTGCTTGAATGGAACAATGGAGAAATCTACATTAAATTTGAAAGCAAACACTTAATTTAGTTCAAAAGTGAGAATAATGATGATAGGAGTGTAGTGATATTAAAATTATGCAGTGAAACAGATTTCTATAGAGTAAAGAAATCCCTGACCAGAATCGTTTTTCTGATAAATTTATGGGTAATGTGATGGTATAAAGGTTTTCTGCGAATTTGTTTAGAAGAAATCTCGACAATTAAAATCAATGAATAGAATGCTAATCGACGGTTTTTGAACAAGCTACGAAGTACAACGGAATTCAATAGCTTGGACGCAATCAGAAGCAGACTTATCCCCCGATAGTTGTTACAGGAACGAAGTGAACCCTTTCTAAATATAGGGACAACTATGGACTCATTACATGACGTTGGAACACTCTCTAGCTCCTAGACCTTTGTAAACAACACAGTAATTTCCTTAGCCAGGAAGTCACCACTATCTTTAAAAAGAGCCGAATATAAGTCATCAGGGCCCAGTGATTTGTAGCGTTTCAAGAGTTGGAGTTACTTGCGAACTTCCGCCTCATTTGGTGGACCAGTTGTCACCAGCCATGGAGGGCAGGACAATCTGACCGATGTTGCCGGACCAGCAGGCCAGTGGAACTGCCCTTCGAAGAATTCTGCCCATCGTCCAAGACGTCCATGGATGTTAGTGACTGGCATCCCGTCTTCCTCACAGATTGTTTCGCTCACACCAGACTTCTTGCTGCCAGTGGCTCGGATGAGTTGGAGGAGCTTCCGGTAATTACGAGATGCAGCTGCTGCTTCCAGCTCACTAGCACGCTCCGACCAGCAGGATTCTCGGTCCTTACGCAAGCTTTGCCCGATTTCATTACGTAACAGTATTCGTTTGTGGTCAAACTCACGGTTACCCGGAGTAGACCGACGGGGTTCAATGAGTTGTAAGGAACCTGAAGAAACCCAGTGCTTATGAGCGGGACGTTTCGCGAACCCACAACTGAATTTACTTGCCATTTCCATGGCGTCATAAAGTTGCAACCAATGCTCATCTATACTTTTCGGTGGAATGGTAGCTAGACTAGAAACTAGCTCGGTTCGATTCTTACTTGCAACAGAAGTTGCAACCAGCTTGCTAACATCAATCCGTTGGTGGCGGTCACTTCGTTGTCCACTGAAAAGTAAGGTAAGATTGGATTAGACCAAGGCATGGTCAGAGTCCAGATAGGTACTCCAAAAGGAGCGGCAGTCTTGTACACAAGCACGCCAGCGGTAGCTGATCGCGATGTGATCAATCTGAGTCCAAGTTTGAGATGAGGAGGGAGGACGCTAGGTGGCACGTCGGCGATGACTATGCCGAAAGTTAGTGCTAGCCAGAAAATACTCTCATATGGCTACACGTATACAGCCACTATCAGGGAAGTCATAATCACTGACATCTCGTAGAGCGAGTGTTTGTTTTACAAAAGTGAGAGGACGAAAATCGAATGTCCAGAGCTTTAACCAGGTTGGTCGATACAGAGCATCCATTCAGGGAAGTTGGAAAACCCTGGTTTCAAACAAATGGTGAATATGGGCCACAGGATCCTGAGGGAACAAATGACGTATGAACCTGTTGTTAGCCACCGAATACCATGAGGCTGCATCTTCAGACACTGCCCCACTGCCTTGTGGATTCAGTCAGTCAGTCAGTAACAACGTAGAACTTCGTACGTACGTACATCAGTTCGAGTTGCCACACCACATTAGCACAGAGATGCAGTTGTCGATTCAAATCCCGTAGTGGTAGAGACAGTAAAAGTATAAGCAGTAATCGGAAAGATTAGTGTTTGGAGATGTTATTTAAAGAGTATAATCCAGTGAAATAAATTTGGGAAGAAAAAAAAAGAGACAAAGAGGGATCAGGAGATTAGAATTTGGAAGAACACAAAAAGTTAACGCACCTGCGCCATTGCAAACTGTTTTGAGCCATGTCATTCAGGGTCTCTAACCATCGGTTCCTATCATCTCGCGGTCCCCAATCAGGTAGTCTATACCTACCAGCATGGCTCAGTCCACTTGTCAGTGACTTCATGGACTTGTGCCATGTTTCGGTCTGGCCGCCCCTAGCTTTCTTCCAATCTACTCCTATACAACAAAACATCGCACGTCGAGGCAGTCGGTGGTTGGGCATACGTAACACGTGTCCTAGCCATCTCAACTGACGATGTTTCACTACTTCATCAATGGATTTGCCATCCTTACCTAGTACCCGTTTCCTAACAACTGTGTTACTTACTCGATGGTCCCATGATATACGAGCAATGTTTCGAAGACACCTATGATCGAGTACTAGTAACCTACGGATATCCTCTACTCTTACCGGTCATGTTTCACTGCCATAAAGTAGGACGGAACGATCTGCTGCGCAGTAAACCGTCCTTTGGTTGATAGACGGATATCTCGCCTACGCCATAAATGACGCAAGTTGGCAAAAGCTAGTCGAGCCTTCTGTATCCGTGCTGAGGTTTCGTCACATACCAAACCACAAAGGCTGATGAGACTCCCAAGATAAGTGAGGCGATCGACACGTTCAACTACTTCACTCCCTATCATTAGTTCGGGTGTCAATACAACCCAATCCTGAAGCAACATTTTGCATTTCGAGGGGGAGAATCGCATCCCGAACATGCTTGCATTGTTGCTTATAATGGTCATCGTCTTCACCAAATAGAACTATGTCATTGGCGTATTCTAAGTCAACAAGTGAATCTCCTGGTAGAAGTTCAACCCCTGGAAATTTAGATGAGGAAAGTGTTATTTCTAAAAGTGCGTCAATGACAAAGTCAAACAAGAATGGAGAGAGTGGGCAGCCCTGACGAACATCACTTGAGGTAATCAATTCCGATGACAGTTTGCCAAAAGCCCCCACTCAGCCAGTTGTGTTCGAGTAGAGAGCCTTTACAAGGTTAATGTACTTCTTCGGTACTCCTTTCAGTGACAAACACTGCCATAGAACCTCACGATCAACTGAGTCGAATGCTGCCTTAAGGTCGAGAAATACCACGATTGTGGGGCGTCTGAACGTGTGTGTGTTCTAGAACCTGACGTAGTGTGAATATTTGGTCTATACAGCCTGATTTTCTCTAGTCTGCTCTTCACGAGATTTAGTTAGGCGTCAAAGTATTATTGAAGCTAATACTTTCGACACTATATTAGTCAAACTGATTCTTCTGTGATTGTCACAAGAGGGCTCTTGTCCTTTCTTATAGCCTGGCACAATCAGTGATTGAGACCAG